TTTACAGACATTTTATTTATATCTGAATTTTTTATATAATTCTATCAATAAAAACATTATTTAGTCTGAAGAAGTTCTTTTGAAGGACAAAATGCATTACATAGGTTTTTTTTTTTTATTTTGTCATTTGATTTCCAGGCTTTAATCTAATATATAAAATTTATATATTATGTTCTCCCATAAGGAGTAATCATTGTTTACTTTCAGACTAATGTCCTCATAACAAAGATGAGAATGTTAGTCCAAATGTAAATAATTAAAAAGATTCTTCTAATTGTGGATATATCTCTTGCTTGCTTACCTCTAAGCCAGACATTCAGATCAGGGCAAGATTCACTTGTTGCTTTTAGAGCATGAAAAAAGTAAATCCTTTGATTCCTGTTTAGGATTGGGTTTCCAGTTCTTTCTAAAGTCTGCTTCAGTTCTGTACTAACGTCTGCACCTAAACTCTGAAATTTTATTCACTATTTACTTCTTTTTCTTTTTTTTTTTTTTTTTCCTCCACCAATAATAGATAGGTTTGCCTATCATCCAGTTTGCACTCCTCTGTGGTCCTTTTGAACAGGAGGTTTATCCCTTGTTTCCTGTTTAGGATTGGGTTTCTAGTTCCTTCTAAAGTCTGCTTCAGCTCTATACATCCAATGCTTGTACTTTCTTATTTTTGTAAAAAAAATTTTAACCATTAATTATCTGCTTACTCTTCTTAATTTCTGTTTTGTCTTTAACAAAAAGTTTTATTATTATTATTTTTTTTGTTTGTTTGTTGAAAACTCTCTATTGTATATCATATGTAACCTGACACATTTCTGCCTATTTGTATTGTAGAATTTGACATTTAAATCTTCTGGAATTACACATCCTGTAAACATTAAGTTTGTATATTACGGCACTAGAGCCACTGGTGATAAAAGTGGAGCATACCTGTTTCTGCCTGATGGTATTGCACAGGTGAGAATTTTTTTTTTTTTTTTATCTTTGTAGCCTACCTCTTTGCTTTCAGGTGTTGATATTTGTGTGAGATTATACCTATATATATAATATGCCACACATGCACACACATATGTATGTTTTTTTGTGTGTGCAAAATAATGATGACCCACCTGCCCAAATTCAAGTTATATTTGTTTTAGAAAAAAAAAAAAAGAACTTTAATTAAATAAAAATTATGATAGTCAGCCATTAGTTATGGGCAACCTTAGTCATGTTGAATATTTGTTTTATGAGTTTATATTTTATTTAAATTGATTTTCGAAAAAATATGGCTCATTATAGTTGTTGCTTTAATAAAACTTAATTTAAAATTATTTACTTTTTCATGTTGGTAACAAACTAAAAAAACTATGAAGTTTATTATTTTTCATAAATGCCTGAAAAATATCAATAAATTGTCAAGAGATCCAATGAATGTCATGTTTTTTTTGCTTTAACAAAAATTAATTTAAAACTTAGTTTTGCAGCAAACAAATTTTCCTAAATTTGTGAAACAGTGGCCAAGAATGATATGAATTTTTTTTTTTTTTTTAACGGAGATATGTTGGGGGATTTAATCTTTATGGAAATGTAAAAATCAGAGTCTCAAAAAAAAAAAAATTTTTTTTTCAGTAAAATTTAGTCATACAAATCTTCTTTGTGTGTGTTGGAGAGGTGGGATATAAAAACAAAAATCTTATTTTAATAAGAGAACCTATTCATTAGGAAAGTCATTAATTAATTGAATAAGTATTGAAAAAAAAATATTTTTCTTGGGTGGAGCATGGTCCCCAGATTGGAAAACTTGAAACTAGGGGTGGGGGTGGTCATAGTTTAAGAGTGGGGCAGAGAGCCTTATGCTGACCTGGCCTGAACTAATTCAAAATATTTTGTTTGAAATTTGTTTTTGTAAAGTAAAAAAAAAAAACAAATTTTAATTTTTGGTTTTAAAATCTGCAATAATGAATGAATGAATAAAAAGTTAAAATGATTACACATAAAAAGAAATATGGAAATAAATTCAAGAGAATAGAAAAATTAAAAATACATATAGCATTTCAAAATTATCAGCAGAATTAAAAAGTAAAAATGAACAAGAATAATAATTATTCTCGTTCGTTTTACTTTTTAATTATGCTGATAATTTCGAAACACTTACATGGCTAAAAATGGGTTCTAATGCAATTATGTATTTTTAATCTTAAAATATCTTCACAAATACAATGATAAATTTTTTTTTTTTTTTTTTTTGCAAAAAGGGGGGTTGGATGACACTGAGTGTGTGTGTGTATATATATATATATATATATATATGTATTTATTTTGTCGTTAATTATTGTATGTTACGATTTGGAGCATATTTTGTGGAATTTGGTAATAGCTTGAGAAAAAAAAATCTGATGATACGTTGCTTTTAGTAGGATGACAAATAAGCAGACTCTGAAATTACAGATTGAATCTACAGACTGTCAAGGATTACTCAGACCTTCCAAAGTTTACACAAAAAAAAAATATTGTGCTTTGGAAATTTTTGCAGTAAACATGATTTTCTTTGCAAATATGTAACATTTATGAGAATAATGTCTGGATATCTTTCCTTAGATGTTTCTAAATTGTACACTATTTGACTGTTAATGTTAACAATAAACTATTTTAAATTACAAAATTGTACTTAGATTAAACAAATATTACTTACAATATATTTCTTCTTGCCATCAATTTTGACAGCATGAGTACACTAGTTTTATGATAACATTCAAAATGTACCAACGAAAAACAAAAGTAAATCATTAACTTGTAGCAGGAGGGGGCATTTTGTAATGGATGAGATTGCTGTCTTTCAAAAAAGTGAATTAAGCACGTGGATGATTTTTATACTTTTATGTAAAAAAAACAACTTCTAAAGAAGTGTTTATTAAGCTGACAGATTTTATTAAACATTATTTTTAGTGGATACCCATATTTGAGTAGATGCTCTGTTTATTTATTAAATAGTATATTTATTAATATTTGTCTACCGGCCTGAATATTCAAGAAATCTTATTAAAGATCTCAGGCAAGATTCAAAACTGCACTCTATGGCTGAGATGGTCTAAAGTATATCATATCTAATTGTTTTTTTTTCTGCTTAGGGGCATACAGGTTTGGATCTTACATCAAACTTCTATAGGCTGGAACTACAAGATAACAAGCAAAAAGCTTTTCCAAATAATATAAATTACATCACTTGAAGACTTCCAACAGCAGCAACAACAAAAACGAGTAGCATGTATAACTAGAAGAGAAAATAATTATACAGTGTATGGCAGAAATACTTCCCACATATACCTTCTAGAAACAACTCCCATTTAATTGTAAGACATTAGCTACAGGGCTTACAGCCACATCACGATGAAACACTAGTTTCCATATGATCACTGAAGTTAAGCAACATCGAGCCTGGTCAATAATTTGATAGGTAACCACTTGAGAATACCAGGTGCTATGAGCTTGGATGTGCGAGTGGGGTAATGGATAATGGCTCGGAATTGTTAATCAGAGAGCTGAGTTCAAATTCCAGTCAGTTTTGTCATATTCCCTTACAAGCAAGTATCCTTGGGAAAGGTATGAACACACCTCTTCTCCCCCCCCCAGCTATAGGTTAATTAGTAAGACTTATATGGCTAAACCATTATCTCCCCAAAAATTCTTACAATCTAAAAAATATTTTCTGGTTTTAAATAACCTGCAAAGGGTTAATAAGTCATAGAAAATGAATCAATGTATCAGTTAGCTATATGGTAATGGTAAGACATTATCTAGATGAAGACGCTATTGCAACTTGCATAAGTTCACTAGCACCACACAGCAAATAGTTTAAAATGTGGGAGGTATTTCTGCTGCACCCTGTATAATCAAATTGTTAACTTTCCACACTAAAAAAAAAAAAAAAAAAATTTTTGGAAGGAAACTTCTATCAATATTAGAAAGAGTTGTAACAGTGGACCTGAGAAGTTTAATTTCTTGAAAAGAAAAAATGTTTTAAGAAAAGGATTTTATAGATGTCAACCAATAGTAATACTGTTTGGTCAATGATGCCAAATTCTTCATGTGCAGAAATGGCTAATTTTACCATTCCCATTAATCAATGTATTCCTCAGAAAGTTTGAACACATGGCCTGTGGATCAACATCACAGGCTTATTAGTTAATAGCAACATCATGTATGCTTCCACATCAGTAGACTTAGAAAAACTTTTAAAAAACTATATTATCTTTTAAACTAAAAACTATTTGTAGCCGTTGCTTATAGGAAGAAAAGAGCCTTTTCAATGTTTTTATTGAATCAATTTTAAGGTCTGCTGCTAGGAAAGTTGGTTCACTGTGTCATGCTAGAATCTTTTTCATCATAATTCATCTTGCATATTTATAAATCCACCATTCATCCATGATTTTAATATTACTGCCACATTTGGTCTGGTGCTCCTACTGTATGTCTCAAGATTCTTCATAAAATCCAAAGAAGGGTCTGTAATATTGTGACGAAAGACATTACTTACCTCAGAATTCAAAACGAGTGCGAACGTGTCTTGTCTGCAAAGTGATGACAAAAAGAAATATGACCATTGAAGACAATTTATGTGCACTAATCTCGTCCAAAATGAGATGATATTTGCACACATGAAAATTTTGGCTGTTTTGGAATAGCATAAAAAGCAGGGAGTCATTTGGCGTGTGTAATAGAGTTGGACGTACGGATTGACAGACACACAAAGAGGAAGGTGAAGTAGGCGCGACTGAGTTGATGTCTGTTTCACAACTGCCCAGTGTAATGGCTGAGAAAGGGAGTCACGCAATCCATTTCCTTGAGGCGACTGAAGAAAAAAAAATAGCTGGCCTGCCGGCAAGCAACGCACTGCACTTTTTGACCCCCTCCCTTCATCATCATTTTTTTTTTTTTTTTATCTTTCTCCTACAAATATTAGCAGTCCTGACCTGGCATCTTAATTTTGGTTACTTTCCCATTGCTGTGACATGGTTTCTTTGCCTCTTCTATAAATATTTTCATGGCAATTGTTCTAATGAGCTTTCCTTCTTGGTACTTCAACCATATGAATTTAATATTGGACTGGCAATTCAGTCACATTGTTTTACTGTTGAAATAGCAAAATGTGACTAAGTTCTATTCTATTATGGAACACTTTTCCAGCTCCTTGCTTTCCTGTCACCTATGATCTTCAAAAATTTAAATGCAATATCAGTCATCATCTTCCTGCTGAACCCTGTTCTTTTATTTCTTTTTCTTCTCACTGACATTTTCTTAATTTTCACTCTCAGTAATCCCTTGTGCCTCAGTGGCATTATCACCTTGCGATTATTTAAAAAAAAAAAAAAAATATTTATCTGCACTTTTCCCTTGTAGACATTGTTGCAAATATTCTTTCTGTATGGAAGCATTCTTGTGAATTAAAATCATAACCCATAAAGCAATTTGAAATATGTACTTTTATCCTATTTGATTTGTTCTTTTACTTGCAGGAAGTGATTGTAGCAAGTCCATTCATCCGTATAACAAAAGGACCAATTGTTTCAGAAGTGACAGTTTTCTTGGAAGATATTGAACATGTTGTTCGCTTGCATAATTCTCCAGGTTAGTCAGGTCCTCATGTTAACTTGATTTGAATGTTTCATTCTATCAGTGTCAATGAAAAATATTTCAATAAATTGTTTTAAGATTTATTGTTTTATTGTCATACACAGGCTGCAGCAGCTTGGAAATTCATTTAAGTGATGACTTTTTGAGAAAGTTGATTTTCTTAAATAAAAATTGAAGGTATGTCTTTTTGCAGCAAGAGAAAACTTTTGGAGAAAATAACTTGAAAAAGAAACTATTACATTGATCGATGCATAAAATGTCAAACTTTTTCTTTCAGGAACTGATGGGGTTTCTCTTGACATTTACAATATTGTGGATATCCGTAAAAGATCAAATCGAGAATTTGCTATGAGAATATATACAGATATTAAGAGTGAGGATAACTCCTTTTATACAGATTTGAATGGTTTTCAAGTAAGTAAATATTTTTTCTTTTCTTTTTTTTTTCTTTTTCTTTAGTCAAAGAAATTAGTTTAAGAAATTAAATTAAGATTCAGTTATGTTATTAACATTATTAAAATTTCACACTCCAGTGTCAGCTTGGTCTTTCTTCATTTCAGGTTAGTTAATTTATAAATATTAAATGTGTACATATTTGACAGATAAAAAAAAGAGGATGTTTTTTCTTTTTGTTAATTTTTTTAGCTAATTTATCATTTTTCAAACTTACCTGTATTAATTATATCATTGATCTGGTGCTAAAAAGGTGTAAGTGTATTTTTTGCGAGATGAGAAAAAAATTTTGAAAAAGCTTAACTGAACATACATCCTTTTCATGTAATACAAAGTTTTTGAAAATTGGGGTCTAACTTTACAAGAAATTTTTTTTATCAGAATATTGTCCATGTTATTTTTATACTGACCGGTTTGCTCATTTCAAAAGTGAAAAATCATGCAAAAAAGGAATATGCCAACTTATGTCCTTTTCATAATCAAACCAACAATATCAGCAGAATTTATGTTACACAGATAAAAGAATAAGATTGTATAAAAAATTATCATCCCTAGACAGGAAGAGATTTAATTTTTTAAATTTTATATTGAATACATTTAACTCGTTTACTTACTTTTACACTAGTTGCATAAGAAAAGAATATTTAATGTGACTCATCAAATAAGAAAATGGATAAAAATTCTCATTTTTAACAAGTTTGAAACCTTTTCTTTAAACCATTTTTCAGATGCAAAATATTTAACAAATAGATTTTTTTTTTTAATAAAATCCTTTGCCGAGTCAGGATTTATTATCTGCTTGCTTTCAATTTCAGATGCAACGTAGGAAGACCTATGCAAAATTACCTCTGCAGGCTAACTATTTTCCAATGCCAACAGCCATGTTTGTTGAGAATAATTCAAGACGCTTTAATATTTTATCAGGTCAATCACTTGGAGCAGCCTATTTGAAGCCAGGTAAGTTCTTAAAAACACGGGTGGGTGGGGGTGGTGAAAAATAACATTGCTATGAACCTTATTCTCAAGCAGCAAAAAAAATTTTTTCATGTGTCTAACTTAATAATTTTGTTACTTGCACAAATCTAGGAGAACTGGAGGTAATGCTTGACCGACGATTGAATCAAGATGACAATCGAGGCCTTGCTCAAGGAGTGCTTGACAATAAACGAACACCTAATCGATTCCGTTTACTTCTGGAAACTAGAAAGCCATCAGCAGCTGTAAGTAAATATTGAATGGCTATTCCATTTTTATTCAGAAATGTTTGTAAGCAAGTCAGAACCGCCAAGTAAGAGTGCCACTTTAGAATCGAATTTATTCACTGCTCTAGATAACATCCTTAAAATATTTGACAATATCCAAGTACTTTTCTTTTTATGGGCATGTATTGTAAATCTTCTACTTGGTAGTGAATGCTGGACAATTTCCTCACAGATGAAGAAGTAATTTATTCTACAAAGATGTGGTTCTACAGATAAATGGTAAGAATACCATGAACAGAACATTTGAGCAACAAGGAAGTTTTAAGGGAAAGAAAAGAACTATGAGAAACTTAGACTTAAGATCAGAAAGAGTTGAAATTCCTAGGACACATAATGAGGAAAGAGGGCCTAAAAAATTTAACACTCACAGGAAATACTGAAAATACGATAAGGGGGTGAATAAGTAATATAACAGGAAGTAGTAGTAAAGGGTTGAACATTACTTAGAGGAAAATGTGGAGAGCCATGATTGCTAATATCCTGAAAGGACTTGGAACATAAAAGATAGTAATAATTTGATTGTAAATAATTTCCACTTTTGTATGTAATTGTTAACTACAAGAAAGTTTTGGTAATTTTATTTTATTTTTTTTTTTCCAGTTGGACAAATCGATTGAAGTAAAACATTTGTCACTGCAAACACATCTTGCATCACTGCATCTGATTCATCCTTTTTATATTGCCCCCAAAAATAGCTTGAGTCATGATCAGGAGTTACTACCTGTGTTTTCTGGTCTGAATTCTGAACTTAGCTGTGATGTACACTTGCTCAACCTAAGAACCTTACAGAACAAAGATGATGACCCGAAACTTAAGTTTGTTCCTCGAAACAGTGCTGCCCTCATCTTGCATCGATTCTCTTTTGACTGTGATTTCCCAAATCGTGGACTCCTTTGCAGTGTTGGGGACGGAAAAGTAAGAACATTATTGTCTCTTTCAATTGTTTGTTGATTTCTGAGGGTGGGGGATGGAGGGGTAATGCTTTTGGAGGAAAGATTTCAGTAGCTTTTTAATTTAATTTGTTTTTCTCGAGTTCAATGTGGCTTTTTATTTCCCTTTTGAAGATAAAATAATTAGAACTACCAAAAAGTCTTAAAATAATAAAAATTGATGTTGAAAATCAATTCCTTGTTAG